TGTAACCATCGTGTGCGGTGCTCCGCGAGAATTTCGTTTGTTATCATGTCTGGTAGATGGGCATTCCTTTAGACCGAAGCGTCGGCCCCTATCCCACAACGTTGATCGTTCTGGTACAGCGATAGTCGGCCCATATTTGGAGGGCACACCCTCAACCATGCTGGTTGTAGAGAGACCTTGACTATGGCTCGTGTGTACGGTCTCACTGTAACCGCGGTCAGGTTGGGCCTTACCGCCAATCTGAGCGCGGGGAGATCTACAAAGAGATGGCCGACAAGCTGGTAGAAGCCGGGTGGGCTTACCCCTGCTTCTGTACTGAAGAGGAACTGATCGCCAAGCGCGAGCAGGTGAGTGGCAAATTGTGTCCAAGTGAAATCATGGGCGTCTGATAGCTCAGCATCAAACGTGAAACTCGCCGTGTTTGTGTCCAATGTTAGAGGCCGCTAGTTTTGACTTGGTGTAAGCTCGCCCAATCCCGGTGGGTTGCTCCACGCCCTAGTGGATATAGTCCTAGTCGTATTGTGAGCGACCGTATTGTGCTCTAAACAGCCTGCCGTATGTATTCAGGCCGAAAACAAGAACGAAGCTCCGCAGTACGATGGTACATGGAGGGATGCAGACCCTGCAGAGGTGAAGGCGAAGATGGAAGAAGGGGTGCCGTACACCTACCGCTTCAAAGTACCCAAGGGCAAGGTGTGCCAACGCGTCTCCGACTTGATACAAGTAGTGGAAGCCGATAGTAAAAGCCGATAGTGGAAGCCGAAATTTCTTTCTTGTTTGAAGCGTGGCCGTCATCCAAATTTTCTAATCATCTCTGTGGCACCATATTTTGCTTGCCTACAATTAGCGATAGTGCACGACCTCTGTCTGAACGTGCGTTATGCCAGCCCCGACACAGGTAGGAAGCATAGCAGTTTCTCCACCTTTCAGCTTCAGTTGTTTTCGTCCCTTCTCAAGACCGATGGGCTCGGGGACGTAGCGGTCTGTCGATCATCCCTAACATAGCCTCACGTCAGTTAATACGGCTGTGCCAAGTACGTTGTTTGTTCATGCCGTAAGGTTACTTCGCTTTTTCGTTGTTGCAGCGTGTTGTAATCCAAGATCTGGTGAGGGGACAAGTTGCTTGGGACGCCGAGGCTACCGTGGGGGACTTCATACTTTTGCGCTCAACCGGAGTGCCTGTGTACAACTTCTGCGTTGCTGGTGAGTATCACTTGCCCGCATTGAATGCTGGAGAGGGCGACTTGGATGGTCACTCATCGTCGTCATCGTCTTTATCCCGGAGGCGTGCAAGACATGAGCGGCCACGTGGCTATATATCATGCGCAGTATGTCTCCCAGTGTCCAATATCAAATGTGTGGAGCTGTCCCTTAAAGAACGTCCTCAGGATTTTCAATAACTCTTGAACCGTCTCGTTCTAACCTTACGAACGTGCATTCTCTCCAAGTGGATGATGCCAAGATGGGAATCACCCATGTAGTACGTGCGGAAGAGCACTTGACCAATTCTCTGAGGCAGTGCCTTATATTGGATGCGCTGGGATTCCCGAGGCCCCAGTATGCCCACTGCTCCCTTATCCTGGGCGAGGACCGCTCCAAACTCAGCAAGCGCCACGGAGCCACGAGCGTGGGCCAGTTCCGCCAGCAGGTGATTTATATCATGCAGTACATCAACAGCAAGAGCGGTAGCACTTCTGTAGCTCCGCGCAGAACGCTTGCCTGCCATGTTTAACAGTATTGTGGTGGTGTGCCATGTTTCTGTACTCTGAAGGCAGTACGATAGTTGATAGGGTCCCATGAGATGTTCGACACTGGAATATGTTTGAGGCATCCTAAGTATTTGGCAAGTGCGTCGCCAATTTTTTTTGCGATGATGCCCCATTTCCACAGGGCTTCTTGCCCAGCGCAATGAAGAACTACCTGTCGCTGTTGGGGTGGAACGATGGCACGGAGAAGGAAATATTCACCGAAGAAGAGCTTCACGAAGCCTTCGACCTTCGGCGTGTCGTAAAGTCGTCTGCCGTGTTCGATATGACCAAGCTCAGGTAAGTGTTAGTGTCCGAAGCGCGTGCTGGTTTGCTCCCACCACTTTTGTGCAGGATGACGGTTGTTTCATCGGGTACCTGCCTGTTCTTGATGCTTCCGTGTCCACTGACGAACACTTGATCTCAACGACTTCGGGGTAATGTGGTAACTGGGGTGCTTGGAGGCGCTCGTTTGACTATCGCGTTCAAGCATGGAGCACACCAGACAAACGTGCACATGTCAATAGGTCAATCGTTAGGAATGTGCTGTCGATGGCGGTTGAAGTACTGTTGTGGTCAATCGTTTGACGACAGTATTTTTCGTGAATAGAGCAACGAGTTTGTTTCTTTTGCCTTCCCAACTCTGTCGCAGGTGGATGAACGGCCAGCACTTGAGGGCTCTCGCTGTGGAGGAGTTAATTCCCATGGTGGGGAGTGCCCTTGTCGAAGCAGGCGTGTGCAAGGACGCGGGCGGCCCGTTCGTAATGAGCGCAGCGACGTTGGTTCAGGGGTCCCTTGAGCTTGTGACTGATGCGATTAACCAGACACAGGACGTGTTGGGATACAAGGTGAAGACCGATGTGTACCCCTGAACTGAAGCCGGGGGACCCATGTGTACTTGTCCTTTTTCGTGAGCTCCCGAAACGAAACAAGGCAGCCCAGGGTACACAGTTCCGCTCGAGAATGCTGAAATGTAGCCCAAGACTTCTCCTCTGTGCGGTCTGTAGCTTTTTACTTGTTTCTCTATGGTTGAGTTGCAAGCCCCCCCCCCCTCCACCGCGCCGACTTCATGTGCAGTTCGACGAAACGATTTCTTCGGAAGAGTCCACGGAATTGGTGGGTGACGGATTTTCAGAGGTGGTGGCTGCCATCGTTGCGGACTTCGATTCGGGGGAAATGCCGAAGCCGGGAGCCGAGGACTTCTCCCCGGCATTCAAGAAGTGGATCAAGGTAAACTGACCATTTCCGTGGAAAATCTCTCATGTTTTAATGGTTGGACGTGTGTTGCGCGTCCAGAACAGTGCAAGTTGGGCGTATTTTTCGATCTCGTTCCATGCATATGCCGAATCTTGCCCAGAGAGACTGAACATGTGACGAAAGTTAAACCTCGAGGAGGGACCTTGCCCATTTGGCGTTACCGGTGTGAGGAGACATTTCCGGACATTTCTACCTTTTCCACTGCACAGCACTGCCAGCGCACCATGTTCGCATTTATCACAAGACACGTGTGGATTGCACACATACAATTCCGAAACCTTCAAACGTTAAAACGTGAGTCTGGCAGATAGTAAGATATCGTGGGTGCACATATCTTGACTTCACGGTCGAAGAGGAAAAAGCACCGCCGAACCCTTTTTCGCGTTGAACATGCAGAACGGGAACGGAGATAAGAAACGTCGAAATTGGATCGAGCCTCAATATCTTGTTTTGGGCAGAAGAACCAGCCGAAGTCGGCAAAATTTCTTTGAACGGATTTCTAGTTTCCTTAGGCTGTCGCATCCTGCTGATTCTTTAAATTTTTTATATCTGGCGAGGGAAACAGCACCACACACTAAGCCTTCATGCAGCATGAAACCGAAAGCTCGATGTGGCGAACATGGGGGGTTGTGGCCGTACAGCAGTATAGCATCAGTGGGTAACGCGGCCCGCGTCGGCGCTGGGGCGCGGGGGGCGCCACGAAAATCTCCAGTCTCCCCCCCTACCAAAATATCACATGAGCTAAGTATGGGGTGGGAGCATGGCAGGAGCACCAGCAGTTGGACGTTTCTTATTGGACACGCTCCCCCCAGCTACCCCTTGCTTCGGTTTGTATGTCTTGGGGATATCGCATGTTCATGTTTCTCATTGGGGCGTTTCTTATGTTGTGGCCGAGATTGAGCTGTGGTTCTTAGCCCTTTCTGCTTATTTTTCTTGAACATTTGAACTCTTTTTTCTTGACAGAATTTTTCTTAATTTTGGGCCCATTCTGTACAAAAAAACGTACGGAGAGAACAATCGTGTCTGGCGTTTATTGCGTGTTCCCGCGGCTGGTGCGTCTACATTGAGGTGTAGACTGACGTCCAGAACAGTGAGATAGCACTACTATAGCACATAAAATTGACCAGCACATTCACCATGACGCTTGCAATCACCTGAGCGTGGCGGTGGGGTTGGGCGCCAAAATATTGTTTGAACGGTGCAAAAGTTTCCTCGCATGATACTTGTACAGTCGCAGCATTGGTAAATCACGAAGTTTTACTTGTCGCAACTTGCGCGGTCGTTTCGCGCAGGCAATGGGCAAGGCATTGACAAGGAAGGGAAAGCGCCTGTTTCATCCCATCCGATTGGCCTTGACGGGAAGCATGAGTGGCCCGGACATCGGGGAGCAGCTGAAATTACTGGAACTTGGTGAGTTGTACTTGGATTCGCAAAACTGCGAGGTTCTAGGGCAATACAAACCTTGTGCATGATATTCAGGATCACGCCGCAAACGTTTCGCTTGACTACAACGAGTTTCGTACGCTGACACCTCTCTGTTACCTACACATTCGCGCTCGTGTTGCCTCTTGCTTGACGAAGCAGCCTCGGAGGAAGGGGTGGAGAACGTATCGTTGGCGGCCAGGATAGAAACTCTCAAAGCTTGGCTTGCCATGCAAGAGTGATTGAAGCCCACATTTGGAAGAGGAGATCAAGCGAACCTCGGGAAAGGCGTGCTTGGAATCGACGAGTTCAATGGTTGACTGTTCGACCTGAGGCTTCTTTCTCCGGGAAAAAAAAACGTACATGCTCTTGGGGTGTGCTTTTTGTTTTGTATCATATCGCCTCTTCATAATCAATATTCTCTCGATATCCACTCTAGGTACTTGGCAACGACTCATCCAACATGTGCAACGTCCTTTGTTGTTCTTGGGTGACCCATTTTTCTTCTTCGAAGGTCTAGTCAAAGAAATCCTCGATATCCACTTCACGAGTCAACAGATCATCTCCAATATTTGAAACGTCGGTCTCACTGCGAATTAAGTTCTCGAAAGTCTCTTCCAGAGCCGTGTCACCCACGAGCATGGCTCCTGTCACACGCCCGCCCACCAATACCACCTTGACATACTCAACCCCCGGCGTGGTACGGATCAAAACTTGAATCGACTCCGAGGTTGCCCGTTTGATGTGGATTGACTCGTGACGGCATTCTGGAGTGCTGGTGACGACATGCTTGACATCGATGCCGCTGGGTTCCTCTTGTAACTTGTGGTTGCTGATGAGGTCTTCGACGGAGGGGCCTAGGCCTTGACCATTGAATCGCCCCAAAAGAGCCACCTGCATCAGGTGCATACAGTGAATCCAGCTTGATAGGCCGTTCTGCACGAGATGGATGTCCATGCCGCACACAGCTTCTACGCACGTTTTTACTCATACCTGGGGTTAACCCTCGCACCTTGAAGCCAAAAAAACGTGTGGCATGTACGAAGAGCTCGAAAACGGCCCCACGGCTCAGTTCATCCACGGAGCCAGTGATGCACTTGGCGGCGTACAATCCCATATCTCTCGCTTGCCGCCAAAGTCGGATCTGGAACCAGTGATCTTCATTCCGCTCAAGACAGCATTAGTCTCCCGCTGCAAATATGTTGTTTTCAACGTCTCCCTCCTTCTCAATCCCACAGCGTACCACTCTCATCATCTCGTCCACGCACAAACCGCCATCTGGGCCTCTTTACAAGGGGAGCGGCAAGCGGGCAGCGCCATGCGAACTGTTCATACCATTTCATTATTCTGTCTTGACGAACTGAATTGTCTACACTTATCACCAGCTCACCGAAACTCTGTGCAACTGGTGCCCCATTTATCACTTGCGTTATAATAGTCACACAGCAGAGGTAGCCGCCGATCGCCTCTTCGGTCGGTCGTGGGTACAACAGCATCGTACAAAAATCCTGTTGGTTCGATTCTTTTTCTGGTGTGAAAAACTGGACTTCAATTTGCGGTCGAGAACGATCGTGTCGTGAGTACCCACTTCAACTTCACCGGTGACGAAAGGGACGGCTAACCCTCCTCGCCATAAAAACTAAGGCTCCCACCGCTGGAGGAAAGGCGGGGTGTCACAACAAACGAAAAAAAGGAAAAGATCTTTGCGTGACCCTGGCTGATTCATCGAACATACGACACACGAAGACGAGACGAACACGCACGCCCAAAGTCCACCCGAACCCCTTACGAGTGTTGGCCTCACTTGCCTTGAAGTCAGACGAGATTATGCCAGTGTTGGGCCGCACACCAGTAGCTGAGACAACAAAGTCACATTCAACACGCCTCCCGTTGGTTAGCGTTGCTGAAACTGGGTAAGGATCGCTGCTGTCTTCTCCACGCTCGCAAATTCCACCAAGCTCGCACTCAAACTGTATGTCAAGCAGCGGATTTTGGGAAGTCGTGTTCCGGTCCTCTTCAGATGTACCTTCTTGGGTAGCCAATGTCTTCAACCAATCGGGCCCAACGCTGGCTTTCGGGGTGGATTTTTCGTCGGAGACCCCGGTGGGTATACCTGTCTTGGCTGACGGCTCGGATCTAGAACATGTTGTTTCTGTTGAAATGTGCCGGAGGAAGAACGCCGAAGCGCTTGCGTCGAAGAAGGTATTGCCAATGTAGGAGTTGCGCACCGCCCACACAACCTAATACACAAAGCAGGATGACAGCCAGATGACCAACAGCAGCATGTGCAACAAGAGGCAAAGCGACGGTGAAATATCTGCACACGTTTCATGAGGGTGGCAATGGTACAGATGAGGCGTACCCATATCATCCCACACATGCCAACAGCCACCAACACCGTGAAGCATTCCCGATAGACTTCGAAGGCTGCGCCTAACTCGTGCTACGTATTGCGAGACAGGCACGCTGCACCTGGCAAGCCTGTGTCGAAGCAAGAAAGTGCACAAGCTCCAAGGCAAGGCCCCCATTGCCGACGACCAGCACTCCTTTAGCGTCCACTAGCCGCTCGCGCAAATTTTCCACACTCTGCGGGGGGTCGGAGTGAGTTTCGTTGCGGACAGCCATGTTTTCAGGAAAGTCCAGGCAACGTACGAACCGTGTGAACGAGCTTGGCTCGTGGCAGCTTTAGATACTGTACGAGCTCAATACTGCGGTCGGTTGCCAACCAGAGCTCGACATGTCAACATGCTAAAAAACGTTTTGAGCCCGTACCTCCGTGTCCCGAATCCCAAAGTACCGAGGCGTTGCTTGTGCTACAAGAGCAGGCGATGCTCCCGTCGCAACACAACATCTGGGGTATTCCGCAACAGCGCGTGATAGTGGTGGGAGAGGGCTGAGCTTGGCAGTATGTCGTAGCACCAACAGCAAAGATCGAGGGGCAACATGAACCCTTCCTCTCGGCTTCATCAAGGTGCACGTTGCATCCAAACCTGGAAAAAGGCAGGATCCCCCCGCTGGCCAGTTGTGCCTGACTTCGAACATGATCCACAGCAACCACCTCATCGCAAATCATCCGTACGCCGTGTTCAGCAGCGAAGTCGTCGGAGGACCTGTGCACATGCCCAAATTCCATAGTTGATACTTCCGCGCATCAGTCATGTTATGTGGTGCCGAAGTCATACCGCAGAAATTCTGTGATATCCTTCCACTCCATGTCCGCTTTCAGTGCATCCAACCACATGTGGTTGCCCAAGAACGGTTTCATGCGAAAATAGAACATGGTATGTCAGTGATCGACACACAGCAGCTCCCATCAGACCGAACAATACCGCCCGCGATGATCACTGATGCGAGCTCTTCAGCTGTTGGAGTTGTTTTCGCGTGTCTCACCCATGTTTCTGACTCGACCGCTGTCTCGACCCTGCTCATGTACGTGTGATTTGCTGTGTGCACTTCACCACACCCGAACATGGACGTGCTACACCCGAACACCTCGTCCAAATGATTGCTGTGGATTCCGCAGCTCAGCAAACAACTAAAAGCGATACGTAGACCGTCTAGAGTTCGCCGCTGACGCCCGCAGCTATGTTCTGCGGAGCCGGGGTGGCTCCAGTTCAACGCCCTGTTCTCGTTGAGACGAAACTCGCCATTCACCCTCGCTGTGTGCTGTTTGCCGATGTTATAGACCCTTGAACGTAGGTGCATATTTCCATCAAAATCGGTCCGGCGCTCGAAACCTTGTACCATTGTATGGAGCGATCTCTCGAAAAATAATACGAAGTACAAAGGGCCCTTAGGCAGACGCTTATGGCAACCGAAAGTTGGCCCGACGGATGTTTTTGGGCTGGCATACCCCTCCCCGCCCGGATTTGACCCGGATTCGACCAAGAGACAGACCTCTCACCACATCGCCACAGAGTTCTCCCTCCATGATGGCCGGATCGCCACCACACCTTCAAGGCTGTGCACACCACACCTGTAGGCGTATTTGAAGCTAGTAGTGATTGCTGTGGGATCTGTGTGTGCCGAGAATTATCAATCCATTTGAGCCAAAGTAAGAATCCGTGTGGAGAACCCGTCGAGGGTTCTATTCGAGAGATTGACCTATTTTCCGTATAGCATCTCCTACGGATTCTCCACACGGATTCTTACTTTGGCTCAAATGGATTGATAATTCTCGGCACACACAGATCCCACAGCAATCACTACTAGCTTCAAATACGCCTACAGGTGTGGTGTGCACAGCCTTGAAGGTGTGGTGGCGATCCGGCCATCATGGAGGGAGAACTCTGTGGCGATGTGGTGAGAGGTCTGTCTCTTGGTCGAATCCGTGTCAAATCCGGGGGGTGGGGGTATGCCAGCCCCAAAAAGTCCGTCGGGCCAACTCTCGGTTGCCATAAAAGACAGCCTTACCACTCGGAAACAGCTCCCACCCTCAATTTGTCACTCGAGGCTAAATCGCGTATTTTACGAATCGAGAAATGAGCTCGATCATGATGCCGAAATCGAATTGAGCATCCTCGTCTTCAATTACAACCCAAAAAAAACTGTACACACCGCATACAGCGACACACACCGTGCATCGTCTATCCAGACTCTTACCTATCCCCCACGTGGACGATTCCAACCAGTGGTGTTATGTGTTCGATTGCTTCCACGGTCCTCAGTGTTGGTGAAGGTGACATTCGAAGAAGGAGACAACCTGCGGGGACAACATAAACGTCACGTATGCATAACTCTCACGTGCTGCCTACACGCGTTACTTTTGAGAGCAACCACTACTGTCGCCCAATCGATGAGTGCGGGTACTGTCGCCGAATCGATGTGTGCGGGTGACATCCACCGCATTTTGTGTTTTTGTTTGGTTTGTTTTTCTCTCCCATCATTGGACTCTGTCCGTCTGCCCCTCTGGCCGCTATCCTCCACTTCTACTAGCTAGACGACCCAACCGGGGTCACATAGGAGGGGGGGGCTGGACCCCCTCCTGCGGTTCCTGCCTGAGGTATTTTTATCGCGAGAAGGGTACAGCAAACCCTTCCCTCGCGACTTAAGAAGTCGATTATGGTTTGTCGATTATGGTTTACTAACAACGAGCTTTGCAGCGCGTCGCTTTCATCCTAGACCAGGATTTATTTAGTGAGAAAAAAACTCACTCTGCCGGGACTCGAACCTATGACCTGGCCCTTAGCAGGCTGCGAGGCTATTCACTAGACTACCGGGGCGACTACTATGTGTGTGTCTACATGTTGATCGGGTACTCTCTCGAATAGATGCAAATGCATGTTCCAGGGACACATGATCCCGAGTCTTGCTTAGTCTACAGCAGTACTGCTGCTGTTGGAGGGTGGTTCGTGAACACTGCAGCAGCTACATTGCATGCATAGATACACTCCTGTACCCTAGGACACCAGGACATCTGTCTACAAGCTACAATGTTTACAGAATCCGGTCGCCCCGGTGGTCTACTTGGTATCTTCGACACCTTCTGGAGGTCAGGTCAGGGGTATGAATCCCGGCGTAAGCGAGCTTTTCTTGCAAAGTGAGTTTTTGTCTCGCTTCCGCTCCTGGCCAAGTGGATAGCGCTAGTTCGTGTGTACACAGAGGGAAGAGAGTGCTGAACTCTTCTCGCATTAAAAATCGAAGGCAAAGTACCGCAAGAGGGGAGGGTAGAGAGGGGCTCTTCTGTGTGACCACGGGTTGGAGTAAACGGCACCAGTGCTGTGAGCGCTGATTTGAAGTGAAGACAGACATAAAAAAAAAAGAGAGACTCGCCCACGGTGGTAACATGTCGGCATCGAGAACGACGCGACTCACCGCAATGTTTCGACGGCACATGTGCATCCAGCAACGCCTCCCCCAATAACCAGAATGTTGTCCATTGTGCAGAGACGCAGGAGGAAATTATCCTGAAAACGTAGGTGTAGTGTGCGGTGTGGGAGCTTGGAGCCAAGGGGCAACTCAATAACTGCTGTTGTTGTGGACTGACAAAACTGTCGAGATTCATACAATCACAGAACCTCTTACATAGTGTTGGGCTGGCTTTGTTCGTGTGGGAACGTGGATTTTATTAGGAAACATAAATGCAAACACAGAACGACTACCCATTCGAGATAAGACCACAGTCGAACGTTTGTGTAGTAGCGGATAAAAATGCGGCCTCTGCGGCTCAGTACTATATGCTAGTGCCCTTGGTGAAGGTGAACTCCATCCTTTGGCGTGCGCCCTTTTGCCCCAAATGTCTTGGCCTCCGCGAAAAGACTCCGCTCCTGCAAGGCAGAGAGTAGCATATTTTATATGTATATATATTTTGTCTTCACTTCATTCACATCAGCGCTCACAGCACTAGTGCCGTTTACTCCAACCCGTGGTCACACAGAAGGGCCCCTCTCTACCCTCCCCTCCTGCGGTACTTTGCCTTCGATTTTTAATGCGAAAAGAGTTCAGCACTCTCTTCCCTCTGTGTACACACGAACTAGCGCTATCCACTAGACCAGGAGCGGAAGCGGGAGAAAAACTCACTTTGCAAGAAAAGCTCGCTTACGCCGGGATTCGAACCACTGACCTGATCTCTAGAAGGTTTCGAGGTTACCAACTAGACCACCGGGGCGACCTGAATCCGACACAATCCCTCTCGTTCACCCCATCGACATCGTTGTACTTTGTGATGGGGTTATGGTTTCGAATCTTGCGGAGTTAATTCGCGATGCAGCTGTGTCGGTGGCGCATGCATGTACTTGTGTGGGAGCATTGTCTACATTTTGAAGAGGGAAGGGAGTCCTCAACCCTTGTCGCGTAGTCTACATATTTACAGTAGATAGTAGGAGGTGTGAGGACGGCATGTTCCCTGCCTTCGGTGACCTCGATGGCTGCTGCGTGTATACGCATACGAAACATTTACTGAAAGGAATGGATTGACGCCCATGATAGCTGGGACGAAACTTCAAACACTGCTGTGTACACACACGACGAGCCCTGAATCTCGCGTCATCACCGTCAAGACTTACAGAAAGAGAAACGCGCCAGGCGGGCTGAACTGGCCGTTCCTAGTGGCCCCTAGCGTCCTCCCGGCATGCACAAGCTAGTTGGCTTGTGTGCGTCACTACATTTGTTTTCATTCTCGCAACCACTCCAAATCTCCCCGCCCACGTGCGAATATCGAGGACGAGCTTCGAATGGCATCGCTTCGTTGTCGTATCTAACTCACGATTCTTTCACGCGTTCCTGTGTACTCGTCCGTGCATACTCGCGGATGATGCTGTGTTAACTCTTGAACACACCGTTCCTTGACCAAGTAATCCGAAAACGCAAACTGCAGTGAAAAATATCATCGTCGTGGTCTTGGGGAGTACACTACGGCCGCAAGGACTGGCGCCATCATGCCGAAGCAGCCCTCGTGACATGATGGATTGGCACAATGTGCGGGAAGCAAAAAGGAACGTTGAATTCGTCCTGATATTCTACTTTCAAACAAAGGTATGGCACTCCTGCTCTACCAAGGCCAAACGATTCCATACACAAGGGATCCAGACCGTACCAGACATAAACATCAGACAGCGCCCACAAAAACCTGGCGGCGGACGCTCCACACACAAAAAATTGAGGGCAACGTCCAAATAGAGGGGCACAAATCTCCCTATGAACCACCCCAATCGCACGTACTTTTTAACATTACAAAATTCAAAATCCCAAGTCAAGCATGTCTGGGTCTTCTACAAGTAGTCAAGAGGCACTTTCAACCAAACCCAAAATATGCATAAAAAAACTAATACTTTGAACAGCAAGAGAAGTACGGCGAGGAAGAGCAACGGTCACAGATTGTTGCCCTACTAGCAGTCACAGTCACGACTGCAACGCCAGGAAGCCAAACGCACAAGAAGTGCTTGAACGGACGTCACCAAACCGGACTTACCACGCACAACATCTGACAAGAGGTGCAGTACCGAATTCTTCGTAATGCACTCCTTACACGAACGCCTGATATTGCAACGTCACCAACAGTCCTTGCTATTCTTCGAATAGCTCAGGTTCCGTTGACGAGGAGGAGAGTACAGCTCATCCACCAAATCACAACTCTCCCGCAGCCGTGGACGCCTTCTCGGCGGTCTCTTCAGCGTCCTCTTGCGCCTTTTTAAACGCTGCCGCAGCAGATTCCGCGGCCTCACTAGCGTCTTCGGTGACTTGATCTCCGACATGCTTGATGTCGTCCTGAAGAGACCCCCTGACCGCCTCCACATCCGCTGCGGCACCCTCGACAACTGCGTCTACCGTCGACTTGATGTCGGCACCCACTCCGTCTAACTTGTCCTTAGAGGCTGAAATAGCACTCTTCACCGATTCCTTAGTCTCGTCGACAACTTTTTTTACGTCCTCCGCCGCTCTTGCGGTGTTTTTCTCCCCCTCGGCCACGAATTCGTCGATGGCGGCTAGCACTGCTTCAACCCCTTCTCCCAGCGGGTCCTTACGAAACGTAATAGGGGCGTGGCGAAACAGAGCGGGGGTCGTGGAGTACCGGCAAATTTCCACATGCTATCGATCGCTGATCCGACAGGCCCCAAATAATGCTACGAAGAATTATTGGGGAAACCGGGCAAAAACCCCGATTTCAGGAAGTACATGTGTTCCAATCTGACCACCACCCATGCATCTATTTCACGACAGAGGTCTCAACCATCCTATTCCGAATTGAGGCACGCCAGTACCGATAACAGTCGGGCGATCTTAACGCGTTTACAATCCAACTTGCTGAGTCTTGCTTATCTGCCCCCTGTTTATTCATCATTCTCTGCAGCAATCGTTTGTACAGTATGGTGATCGCAATCATGCCTTAGGTACCAACTCGACCATTTCGCATGCATCTATTTTCTATTTTCATTGTCTCGATAGCCCCGTCTCTTTGATGCATTGTCACGTTCTCCAACTCCTGCGCTTGGCATGTGGGCATGCCCTCTCCTATACTCAAGGTCATGCGAAAACGAGCATGATGCGAGTTTTGTGTTATTGTCCAGAAAATGATTTGTGACACGTTTGGCAAACCACACAAGAAACGGTCTTACCTCCTCGTCTACCGCCTTGTCCTTCTTAACAGCAAGCGACTTTCGCACTTTGCCGAGGCCATTCTTCGTCTTGGTGATAAACTTCTTGAACAAATTGCTGACATACAACGCAGCAGAGGAAGGAGATACGACGCCGCCGACCCACACGCAGACACAAAGAGGTAAGCATCCACGTCCAGCTCGGAAAGACCGCGAGACATCTCGAGAGTGTACTTCTTTAACAACAGAATCAAATGCATGCTGCTGCGGCTCTTTCAGGAATCTCCATCCCTTTTAAGGCTAGGCAGGCGGCACTCAACACTCAACACCAACCAGGTAGGTATTCATCATTGTACTGTCGCCGTTACGACGCTTGATAGCAATATCCCTCGTCCCGGTGGTTCACTTGGTAACCTTGCATAGCTCATGATGCTACTGCTGTAGGTTCTGGTTCGAGAGTATCCGGAGCGATCACCTCGCGATCTGTTTACAACAGTAGTAATTGAAAGCGTGTAAGTAACACCAGAAGTGCTCGGTAGGAGAGAGTGCTGAAACTCTGCTCGATGCTAACACTGAAGACAGCGCCGCCGGAGATAAAGTTAGAAAACAACACCTGTGGTTGTACAGATGGGACCAAAACAAACACATACCTACTGTGTGACCTGCAAGTCGTGTTGGGGTTTTCATGTCGCGAGAGCAGAAGAATGTGCTCTGCGCTTGATTGACACACGTATTTGTAGTACGAAATGTTTCCCCGACCCAAAAACTACACAGCCCATGTAGGCGTCCATCGCCCATCACACGCAGTCGTGTGATGCTTTTCTTTGAAACCAACAAGATGAGCATCATGATGGGAGGAGCAACACAACCGAACTCTATTCATGTTCGTGGGAGCAACTCTCAACGCTAGACATGTACATACATACCACAATACCACAATGCAAGGACCAATTGTGCGGTTACGGTTGCGCTACGCAGACACAATGCACACATCTTATCCTCTTACCACACGTAAATCAAGAGAATCCACGGAGCTGCAGAAACCATCGCGACACTTGCTGGAAGTGGTGAAGAAATACTCAAGTATGACACGCTATCGCGTTAGGGGAGAGGTAGATGTGGTTCAACACACGGGCGCGCGCGCGGTTGCGTTGTCAACGGATCGGAGTTACTGCAACGACCCGTTTTGACCATCGGGTCGTTCAGAACTACTGCTGTAGTATGTACCTGATACGTAAATCGTAGGCAGTTGAGTGCTGCTTCTAAAATCATACGCCGTCGTCACATCGTTCCAATCAACACACACCTGGACGGTGCCTCCTCAACTTGCTCGCCCAACACCAAACCGACAGCAATGAAGCCGAAGCAGAGTTGAAGCAAAGAGATCCTCATCTCGCGTTTCGTGTGACGCTCGCTGTGTTGGGTGGAGTTTGTGGCTGCTTCACCCCGCTAGCCCCTAACACAACGTTGACGGGAGCTGCTGGCGATGTTTCAGTGCTGTGGCGCGAGGCAAGGAAGGCAAAGAGAGGGGAGGAAAGGAGAGACGAAGTCTGGCTGGTTGTGCTTTCTCGCTTTCTCATTCTTTCTGCCTTTTGCCAACTCGGTGCGGTGTCGCAGATCCCCCCCCCCCCCCCCCCCCCCCCCCCCCCCCCCCCC